AGAACACCAATGCACATAAATTACAAATAAATTATTAAAAAATAAATAATGAATATATTACTCTTTTCTGTCACACTCCTACTTAATTATCCAATAGGCTACCAAGGAATTTAAGTTTAAATATCTCCAAAAGGCAAAGTAAATCTAGGTCCAAGTATTAGCAGTGACCTTTGAGGGCGTGAGAGCCTGTGATCGCTCACTTTCACTCTTGCTTAGGAAGGGAGGAAAGATAAGGACGTGTATGTTAAGAGTGAGTGCAGCTGAACTTATGTAGCTTAATTCAAAGTCACAAAGGAGTAACTGAGGCCAGTTCTGTCAGGGACACTTCTGTGACTCAACACGAGAACACGGAGACTACATCTAACCCCACGTTTGCCCAATCCAGCCTGTGACCTCCAACAAGCATTTTCTGGACATGGTCAACTGTTAAATACACGCTACTGAAGCAGAGCAGTGGATTGCATACTCTTTGAAGGCAAGGAACATAAATAAACCCAGATAAATTCAAAACTGCACACTGAGACCACGTGTGATGAGGCATGCCTTTAATCTGAATACTTGGGAGAAACAAGATGACCATAAATTCAAGGTCAATCTTAGTTACAGAGCAAATTCAAGGCAAGCTCTGGATACTTGAGACCCTGTCTCAAAAAGCAGACACAAACAGCCGGGGTCGTGGTGCACACCTTTAATCCCAGCACTCGGGAGGCAGAGGCAGGAAGATCTCTGTGAGTTTGAAGCCAGCTAGGTTTACACAGTGAGGTTCAGGACAGCCAGAGCTACATAGTGAGACCCTGTCTTGAAAAAACAAACAACAACAAAACACAAATAAAATAAAGCAAAACCCTGCAAATGAAATACATACATTTATTTATATTTTCTCAGGAAACATCACTAAATTATTATTAATGAGTCAGATGCAACGGCATGCACCTACTTGGGAAACAAAGGCAAGAAGATGGCTTGAGCACAAGAGTTTGGGGCCAGCCTGCTCAACACATTAAGATCTTATCTCTTTAAACATTATTATGAAAGGTTGGAGAGATGGCTCTGTGGTTAAGAGCACTGGCTGCTCTTCAAAAGGACTCAGGTTTGATTCCCAGCACTCACACAACATCTCACAACTATCTGTTATTGTAGTTCCATGGGATCCAATGTCCTCTTTGGCCTCTAAGGGCACCAAGCACACAAGTGGTATATATCTGTACATGGAAAAAAAAATCCATATACATAAAAACAAACAAAAACAAATAAAAATATATTAGCACGTATATGTGCGAACACACACACACATACACATATAAATGAGCCAGAAATGGTGGTGTATAACTGTAATCCCAGTATTCAGCAATCAGGAAGGGGAGGCATGAGACAGAAGGTTGAAAGCCAGCTTGAGTTACATAGTGAGATCCTATCTAAAACAAACAAACACACACACACACACACACACACACACACA